TATTTTTTTTAAGCTCTATAAAATGGTTTGGAAAGAAATTGTGAAATGTTGTGTTTTTAGGGAAATGGTAAAAACCTATTTTTACCCGATAAAACCCCCCATAAACCCCCGTTCCCATAGTCCGATCATGCTGGTGTTCGCGAACTCGTTCGAATAGGTAGGTAGGAATAGGGGTAGGTTTACACGTTTATACCAAATTTCAACAAAATCGGATCATTTTTGCTTGAGTTATCGTGCTAACGGACACATATATATATAAATATATATATAAAAATACAAATACATATGTGAATTTGAACGGATGGTGGTTTAGCCTCTCAGGACCTCAAAACGAAAAAGCAAATCTGTCCCGGGTCCAGGTCTTACCATGATTACTACGGCAATAGCTTATTTCCTGTATGGGAAATTCGCAAAAAATCAACACTCTTGCTATAATATATTGTATGAAGTGGTTTTTTACTTGGTAAAACCACGAAATAACATTGTTGACATTTAAATTCAAGCATAGTCCCTTATTTTCTGTATACCAAAATAATTGGGAATTGATAATAATATAATAGTGTAATGCACTATCATTGTCTATATATACCTGTAGGTATATAGTCAATGGAACTATGCTACTGGCTTTAGCTTACCACAGGCTTCAACAATCGTCAATAGAAAATCTCATAGCCATAGCAGAGGTATGGTAAAAATAGGTTTAATCATGCAGCTCAAACTTTAAAACGATGTTTAGTAAATCTAAAGAATGAATGGTTTTCCGACTTTACCAACAATTTATCTCCAACTGAAGCCACAGATTACTCCTTATGGAAATCCACGAGGTACGTAAAGCGCCCAGTACAACATGTTCCACCTATCAGGAAAAATGATGGAAATTGGGCCAAAACTAACATGGAGAAAGCAAGTATATTCTCAAATTACTTTTCAGAAGTATTCAAGCCCTTACTTCCCAATCCACCAAACGACGAGAGTGATATTTTTGAATATTTGGATTCACCTAATCAATTATCTTTGCCTATATCACCCTGTACACCGTCCGAAGTTCTAAAAGTAATACAAAAGGAAATAAACCCAAAGAAAAGTCCCGGATACGATTTAATCACTGGCAGGATTCTGAAAGAATTGCCACGAAAAGGAATATTATTGCTGACCTTCATATTTAACGCAATATTACGGCTAGAATATTTCCCAGTTCAATTGAAGATAGCTCAACTTGTGGTCATTCCAAAACCAGGCAAACCACCAAATGAGGTCTCGTCCTACAGACCCATAAGTTTGCTTCCTGTTGTATCCAAATTATTTGAAAAACTAATCCTAAGAAGATTGAACCCAATTATAGAAGACTTAAATTTGATTCCTGAGCATCAGTTTGGCTTCCGGAAAGGACACTCTACAGTTGAACAAACCCACAGACTAGTAGACATCATTAAAAATTCATTTGAAACAAAAAAGTACTGTTCTGCTGCATTTCTGGATGTACAACAGGCATTCGATAAAGTGTGGCACACTGGACTTCTGTATAAACTTAAATCCTTGCTCCCCCATTCTTTTTACAGTTTGTTAAAATCTTACTTAAATAAACGATTCTTTCAGATTAAATTTCAAGAAATTTTAACCGACTTGAAGCCTATTCAATCTGGAGTACCCCAAGGCAGTGTTCTTGGACCTGTTTTATATCTACTATATACCTCTGACATCCCCGTGGGCCAAAATATTACGGTTGCTACGTTTGCGGATGATACTGCATTTCTCTCCATTCACGAAAATCCTCAAGATGCTTCAAATCAATTGCAAGTTGCATTAAATGATTTCGAACTGTGGCTAAAAAAATGGAGAACTAAAGTTAATGAAACAAAATCTTTACATATAACATTCACGCTGAGACAAGAAAACTGCCCTCCAGTTACTTTGAACAATATAGCGTTGACAGAAGTGGACAGCGTTAAGTATTTAGGATTCCATATGGATAAACGATTAACTTGGAAAACACATATTTGGTTTAAAAGACAACAAATGGACTTGAAGGTTCGTAAACTCAACTGGCTTCTAGGCAAAAAATCTAAGCTTTCGTTGACCAATAAACTCACACTTTACAAAGTTATGATCAAACCTATTTGGACGTACGGGATACAGCTTTGGGGAACGGCAAGTAAATCCAACTTAGCAATTATTCAAAGATTTCAGTCAAAGGCGCTACGAAGAATAGTTGATGCTCCGTGGTTTGTTTCGAATCGAACAATCCATGAAGATTTCAGAATACCTACAGTAATTGAAGAAATAACAAGAATTAGCAAGAACTATCAAGAAAAACTCGAAACCCACCCGAACAATATAGCCGTTAATTTGCTGGACAATAGTGATTTTCCCAACAGACTGAAAATTGTGAAAGTTCTAGAACTCCCATACCGATTTGTATAGTTTTAGTTATGACATGACTATTTAATTTTGCAAGATCTTTCACAGGGAAGATTCTTGGTCAAGACACTTATTTATATTATCCCTTTTACTAATTGTTCAAAGTACTGAACAGATTGTAAAATAAAATTAAGTTAAAAAAAAAATAAAATAAATAGCCATAGCAGAAGATGGCAGGCTGTACAACTGTAGCGAGCGATTGGTTTGGTTTTGAGGCGAGCCTTTCAAGACCGGAAAATGCCGCGCGTCTGCGCATGCGCAAGTAAGCGTTATTCGTAGCACTTGTAGCAGCTGCAGCTGTTTCAGAAAATCACACTAGTATCTTCACTGCAACTCTTGCAACAATCTACTTGAAACTGGAACGGTTCTCCCGCGCTTAACTCCAAACCATTTAATTACTGTAACTGAATGAAGAATTTTACAGATTATGTTTAAGTATGTGTTACTTTACTTACTGTAACCTCTGGCACCTCCTTTATTTTATAAAATAAATTTTAAGTAACTTGGGTGGGCTACGTTACCGTTATCATCTATTCATCTATCTTCAATTGTACCCAAACATGTTTTCCAAAAGAGAAGATCCCAATTCTCATTTCATTTTTAATGGTCTAAGCTTTTTGAGAATTATTGGCATCTTGCTTACAATGAAATATGAAATGTATAACAAAATGTAAATGTTCAACAACGCTAATACATAATAATTTATTTTATTCACTAGCGCTTTCAGAAACAAGTTTTCCATTCAAAAGCGCTAGTGAATAAAACAAATTATTTTATTGGCTTTGCCTTGTTGAACATAGCTGGCTTATTAATTGGAATCCTTCTGTACTTCTCGTCCATAAACTAAAAATAAAATTTTCCACATAAACTACAAAGTACTCCAGTGTTATTGATGTCTTCCATATTACTCGTATTTCTCAGAATCTTCGCATTGAAGAAGGAGCACATCATCGATAATAAATGACCTCCGCAACACAGCAGCAATAAAAATCTATCAATAACATTAACCCCAACTTCAACTCAGACATAACTCGATCATAACATAAAGAATAATAAACTATATGAATAATAATTATGAGGAACTAGTTGCAGTTGCAGTGCAGTCAAGATAAATATTACGACAACGACGCTAGTTAGTGGTTAGTGACCGTGACTTTCTGAAATAGCTGCTGCTACGCCACCAGTTACTAGCGCATGCGCAGAAGCGCGGCATTTTCCGGTCTTGAAAGGCTCGCGTTTTGCGTGGTTGGTAACACCACACTTAAGCCTGTGTCACACTTGGCTACTTACTAGCAGCTACCTAGTAGCAGCTACTGAAATAGCAGCTACTTTTCCTGTCACACTTATTTTGGTAGCGTCTATTCACTTGCTGCTACTACTAGTTTAGCTCAAGAGAGGTTATGTCCCAAAGACACGGATATTTTCAATACAGGTTCAAAAATTAATCACATCTCCCCCACCCCACTTCGGATCACTCATGATTACTTCAGAAATTATTCAAAATGAACTAGTATAAACAAATCAGGCAGACAGCTCATGGTGCAAGTAGCCGCTAGTCCGCTATTGAAGCTGTCACACTGGGCGACAGTCGCTACTTGATAGCTGCTAGTTGGTCACGTGACTCACTAGCGCAGTTTAGTAGCACGGAAAGTTGGACATGTTCAACTTTCCATGCTAGTAAAATTTCACTAGCGCACTACTCTAAGTAGTTGCTACTGCCTATGTCACATTGGCTACTTAGTAGCTGCTATTTCGCTAGCTGCTAGTAAAGTAGTGTAGTGTGACACAGGCTTTACTAACTAGTATAGCGCTTCGTTTTCCTCTTCCAAGAACTGATGAGAACCTCTTTAGTGGGGGGCTTGACATGTCGACGGTCGACGTCACTCTTTTCTTGACTCTTGAGGGAACACCAAAACCGTATGACCATTATGACGATTCCATCAGTGTTCTTGGCGTAGTGGATAGCATCTCGGACTGGTAATCTGGAGGTCTCCAGTTTGAATCCCGCCGGTGACACTAACTTTTTTCCATGATTTTGCTTAGAATGCGAATTTATAATTTTATTTATGGATAGAACTACCTATTTTTTCAAATTAGTAAACCTTCATTCAATTTTTTTCTTTGTATATATTTTTATATTATCAGCAAGTTTGGTTGGTTCGGTTAGGTTATGACAGCTTTAATAATACAAACTTTCAAAATAAATTTTGTAATTAAAAATTATAAGTAAACATTCATTCGATTTTTATCTTATATCTTTTTTATATTATAAATATAAGCAAGTTTGGTGGGTTAGGTAGGACATTACAGTTAAATTAATTTATAATACAAAATATTTTTATAATCAAAAAATTAATTTTATAACTAAAAAATTCTCAAATTAATTTAAAGATTTTCTTAAATCGACGTGAGGGGCTCTCCAACAATCCCCCACTCCTTCACAGAAAAGGTTCTCATCAATTTCTGGTAGAGGAAAATGAGACGCAGTACTAGCACTGGCTGACTGGCTGCTTCGCTGCTAGCAGCAGACTAGCAGGTAGCAGAGGTTGAGGTTGAGTTGACTGACTGAGCTGAGTTGAGGCTGAAGAATATGGCCTCCTTATCAGGATGGTTATTTTACGTGTGATATTTAGTCTACAGTGTATTCTGAGAGTTGTTTATAATGATACGGAGTGTGTGTATAGTAGTACGTACTGTTCAGTGTTCTTAGTTTAGTGCGTTTGAAAGTTAATTAATATTTCGCTATGAACTGTCACCAAATTCTAAGTGGAGCTTGCAACGCTGGCGATCGCTGCTTTGCTGTTGGAAGTGTAGAAGGAATTCCTTTCACGGTAAATGAATTCAATTTTGTTTGTATTATGTAAGCCAACATGTATATGATGGTGGATTTCAATCTTATAAACAAACAAATCTAATTCTCTACTGTAGAGATCTTATTAACTTATCATTGGAGATCAGCCTTGATCCCATTTAAGTTGACCTGTCATTCTGTCAATTCTATCCAAACTGTCTAAACAAGTTCCTTTAACTTAGGATGTACGGATTTTTTACTCACAGTATGTTATAATATCTATTGTTGTTATGTAACCATACAATGTTAACTTAGCCTACATGGGACTGCCGCCTCTCTTATTTAGCCTTCATTTGTCTAGCCTAATTTACTTTAACATAGTTAATCTTAGGGAACTTAAATTTAGGTAATTATTGCGATGAACGTGACCATGGGAACCTATATAGGTTTATAACCAGAAACTAGATTTTTAGCTGAAAATAACGGTGCAAAAACTTTTCCGCGCTCACAAATATTAACGTAGTTATTACGGCTGTTTTAAGTTTTATTTACCTTTGTAAGTCTACTAAATAGTGTACGCTGCGCATTTTTGATATCGTTATTTCATTGTGCAAAAACAGTCTGGAAGTAGCATAAATTAGGCCTAATGAGCCGGTTCATTATAACCTATCCTTTAACTTAAGGTACCTAATCTAACCTCACTTCAAAACACTTAATACAGTCACGAATCCGCATAAAACCCGACCTACCTTCCTCACATGCCTAAATAAGAACTGATTATTTGGTTTCAAAACGAATTGATTTCATTCCGCATTAGCCTAAGTCTAGCATAAACAGATGTTTGCTCTCCTACTCACTCAGTCCACAGTCCACATACGGACCCATCCAGACCACGCCATATTAAATACCATAAGTATAGCTCAATGAACCATAGGTTCGTAATTTTAACCTTCGTTTTACGGCCACTTATGAATCTCTCCGACAAAAACTGATTGCATTTTTGGATTCAGCGTGAAAAATACTGTAAGTAGACATCTAAAAATTACAGAATATCGCATTGTTGATATATCAAATATTTGCCAAGGATTTTTACGTAGGCATAATTCTAAAGCCTAACAACTACCATTAAACATACACTAACCAACAATGGTAGACTTCTCATTCCATTCTAAAATCTAAAGTTTTTTCCATGTCTAACTTAGTTCATGTTGGTGACACTTGAGCGCTAGTGTCATAACACTTTGTTAAATATATTATCAGAGAGTACTGCAGTATTATTAAATATATTAAAAAACCAACAACAACTAAACATTTCACATGCTAACAAAATTAACAGCTGTAGCCTATATATTCATAACATATTTTTTTTGGAATTAGGTTAATACTTGAAGATGTCATTATAGATGAAACATGTTGTGTAATTTTATTAAATAAAAAAAGGAGGAAAAAGGGTACTCATGTTATTTTATACATTATTTATTAATTACTTAGTACTCCTCATAAGTGGACAAGTTTACAACAATAAATATTTAAATATATATGCATTTGAACGGATGGTGTTTTTGGCTTCTAGGGACATCAAAATGAAAAAGTAAATCGGTCCCGGGTCCAAGTCTTACAACGAGACCTACGGTAATAGCTTATTCCCTTATGGGAAATTCGCTAATATATTGAAAAAGTAAACAGATTAAAATAATAACATATGATAAATATACACATATGATAAATACAGGTCAAGGGGAAAAGAAAAGGTCTATGAAAAAGAAAAAAAATATTCAACAGCTACCTTACAATATCCTTAGATGTCTGGCTATAAAACTTTTTTTTTTGTGAATGCCACATCTTCAGGGTTATCCTGTTCTACGATTTGTCATCAAAACATTTAAAATTAAATACAAAACACACATTGACATGGACACATTTTTTTACAAAAACACTTTAAATTAATTAGATCAATGCAAAGTGCATGCACACTTTTGGTCGAACAAGGAATTCTGCTTTAAGGTTCATGCATTTAGGAAAAACGAATATTTTTCTGGGAAATTTATCTTAAAGGCCTTTTGTTCTTGAAGTATGCAGTTTTGCCCTGGGTCCAGGCTGTCCCTCTCTAAACATCAAACCTCACCCTGCTTTAAATACATACCTAATTACCTTCTGAAAGGTATGGGTCCATTTTTCAAGCCCATAGGTTCACAACTTTGTGGTCTAAAAAAAAAGTAATCGAGAATCGATGGAAAAATCGGTTGCTATGCAATGCAATAATTTTGCCATGATCACAGGTTACAATGACAATATCTCCGTGATTGTGTGGGATGTAAAAAAATCTACCACTATTGCGGGATACAAAGATGTTGTCTTGGTGTTTATGAGGGAATTCAAGATAATGATGCCATGATCTTGGAAGATGATGTTTATGTCAAAGTGGCTGGGTAGTTTACAGTTTTCACTAAAGTTTTTGTTCCTTATTTTAAAGCTATAGCCTAGGGACAAAATCCTGTTGAAAATATAGTTTTTAAGATATTCCTATTAATCATATTTAAGTTATAACTTTTAGCTCTGTGTTTCATATCTCTTTTTAACTGTAATTTAAGGAAACTTATAATTAAATCCAATTTAGACATTTTAAATAATAAAATAATTATTTAATGTTTTATTAGTATACCTGAGTAAACATATCATGGTCATATGAGGTAAAGTTTATTTGATATGCCAGTTTAGTTTCTAAGTGAACTGTCGCGTCAGTAAGGGGAATGTCATATCGCTCTTTCTCTCTCTGGCATTCCTGTACAATAATGTCAGGAAGGTATTAAGCTCTGGCTGGAATCTTGATGAAAGCAGTGGCAAAAAGTAATTTTAAATTATCGTATCATCGTGTATATCTGTTATTATAGGGCCTATTTGTCATTATTGGTATGACTAATCATTATTGGTATGGTAGTCTTATTAATCATTATTATATTTGTGTTGTGCTACCTAATTGGGATGTAATACTTTTTTTTTGACACTCATGTTATTAGCATTTAGAATATAGTAAACTAGCAGAGTACCCGTCCTTCGTACGGGGTTGGCATATTAAAATGCTTATTGCAGTTATACTCAAGCTTTGCGTTTGCAATGTGGGGGGAAAAAGTTTGATAAAATTTGCTTCTTTAAATTGACGGTATACTATGGTATTACACATCTACCATAGCCATAATGTTCTACCACTTCACCTAAACAGTAAAAATAAATTATAAAAAATTCGCAAAAAATCACAAATTATTCATGACATTTAAAACATCATAACTGTAAAAAATCCTGCTTTGAATGTTCTCATTGTGTATCACAGTTTTTTGTTTCTGCTTAGTTCAAATTAGCTGTTTACATAAATGGAAAAAAAATTATAGTGCTGCACCCTGTTGGTATAAATTATAACTTTTTAATGCTTTTGTATATCATATAGAACCAACTTGTTTAGTTGAAACAGCTGACAAAATTATTTAATTCCCTTTATTTAATATAAGGTTAACATGGGGAACTACAGAGCCACAGGGGCGGAGCCCGAAAGGATTTTTAAGATAAGAATATGCCTATGTTAATCAGGAATGTGAGCTATCATCATGCCAAATTTAAGCCCAATCTGTCCAGTGGTTTATGCGTGATTGAACTTCAAACAAACAAACACACAAACTTTCACATTTATAATATTAGTAAGACGAGGTGTTAGCCCGTCCTACGTACGGGAATTCAGTAGTCAGTTAAAACCGTGTACAATTCAGATCAGCTAGTTTACACATATAAAGACAAATTTTCTTGCAGTTTTAATGTGAAAAATCATCTTGTACACAAATGTTGTGTGACCAAATATGTTTTTATATTCCATCATAGGCCTAAACGATATGCATTTTAAATCCGATAATTTTACAATAAAACAGAAATTCTGCAATTTTTACTATGTGAAAAGCGTTGAAGTGAGATTTACAGCCGATTCGCACAGACGCACACTGATTATAAGTAGCCTACAGTAGAGAGAGTAATAGTCAATTGAGAAGTGTATAGACCTAGTCAATGATACCACCTTCCATAGCATACCTGCCTCTTCCATAATTATTATCACCACAATACAACTACTATACACAATTTCCAGTAGGTATGAATAGAAACGACTTAAAATAAAACAATAATATCCAATCAAATTCACAGTACACATAATTTAACTTTGGTGTCCTAACATCAAAACTAATCGTCACACCTATCCTTTATATCAATTTCACTGCATTAATTACTAAATAAATAAGCGTAAACAAAGAAAAGTAAAAACAACAACAGTTTGTTTTGAAACAGCTGTTTGGTTCAAATAACATTCATTTGAAAAATACCCTCGCCGCAGCAAACCTGCCGTCTACGCGAATTTCCATTTGACTGAATTGATTTTCAATTGATCTATTTAAATAACTTTAGGTTTAACAAGTACCTAGGTTTGCTGCTACAAGGAAACTAATAAAGTGTGTTTTTAGTAAAATATTGATAGCTTACTATAAAAAAAATAAATTTGCCAAGTTTGATCAAAATATATCCATAAACAAGCAAACTACAACATTTTACAATATTCTCCAAAAGGATAATATGGGAATTTTAAATTTACCATTTTTTTAGTTTTCTCCGTAACCAATAACCGTACAAAAACACTTTGATATACTGAATTGTTTGTTTTTTTAAGCTCTTTAAGAAGGTTTATAGAAAAATTGGGAAATTTTGTGTTTTGAGGCTCAAAACTGAGAAAAACAAATTTTTACCCCATAAAACCCCCCATAAACCCCGGTTCTCATGGTCCGATCATGTTGGATCGCCAACTCATTCAAGTTTATCTCGCCTTACACCTTCAAACCAAATTTCATCAAAATCGGATAAAAATTACTAAAGTTATCGTGTTCACGGACACATATATATATATATATACATATATAAAAATTTGAACGAATAGTGTTTTTGGCCTCTGGGGACATCAAAATGAAAAAGTAAATCGGTCCCGGGCCTAAGTCTTACCATGAGACCTACGGTAATAGCTACTTCCCTATAGGAAAATTCGCTAAAAGAACTGGTCACATGTAGCAGGAATATAAAAAGTAAACACGCTAGTAAAGCTAATGACGTAATTGTCAATGTTTATTATCCATACCGTTATCAGTTCTATCCTTGATAATTACCCACCCTCATTGAATAAATGTACATCGTAATTTCCCATAGTAGTTAATTTAACTACAATATATTATAGTTGAAATAAAAGTGATATTTTCATGTTTGGGGGCGCTGATATAGGCGCCCCCAAACGTAACCACAACTGAACACGATTTCATAAAAGGATGGTTTGTCTAATTGCAGTATCCTAGGCCAATGTTGACGTTGTGTTCAATCTATGTCATCCATCTGTTTATCTATAAGTATAAAAGAGGATGTTTGTATATTTGTTTGGCAGTGATAAACTCAGACACCGCTGGACCGATTGCCACGAAACTTGGTACATACGTGTAGAATGTCATGGAATAGGTTTATACACCATCAATTTCGCGATCCGTCCAATCGGCTCCGCCCCAGTGGCTCTGGAGTTTCCCATGGTAACCTTATGAGAAATGGAATTAATGAATCTTAACAGCTGTTTCAATTAAACAAGTTGGTTCTGTTCTATGATGTTCAATAGCATTAAAGTTACAAGGATTACCAACAGGGTGCAGCACTATTATTTCTTTTACATTTATGACAACAGCTAATTTGCAACCAAAAGGTGAGTGAGCGTAGCGAACGAACTTCAACCTGGAGGCGATTTAGCGTAGCGAACGAGCTAACGTGAAGGCAAGTGAGCGTAGCGAACGAGCTAACCTGAAGGCAAGTGAGCGCAGCGAACGAGCTTCAACCTAAAGGTGAGTGAGCGTAGCGAACGAGCTCCAACCTAAAGGTGAGTGAGCGTAGCGAACGAACTTCAACCAGGACGTGATTGAGCCATGCGAACGAGATCATCTTGAAAATTAAGAAGTTAAACGGGGCAAAGCCCGCGGGTTACAGCTAGTCTTTGTATAAAACCCGGCTGAGGTTGTGGTGGTAATTTAAAATTGTGATTCCTGATTATTCTTGATCTTCTTTTTATGACATCAATATTTCCGGGCCTAATCCAAACATAGTTAAAGCAGACAAACATTAATTGTAAACAAAAAGCTACCATGAAGAATTAAAACATGTAAACACTGTTATTTTTCTAATCTTTCCTTGAAAAGTGTAGCAGTAAGATAATTTGCATTTATCCTTTTTTATTAAGACTCGTGTACAGAGCCTCGATTTGTACTTTGGTTTACCTAATTAATTTAGGTTAAAACTGTGGTATAATTATCTCTACTAATCTTACTTATTTCCTATAATCAATGACAAAATAAGAGTAAATAAAATAACCTCAAAGTTCCATAGTTTATATTTAACCAGCTGTTAGTTAAAACAAATTATATTGCTCTAAAACAAATCGAAGATTACAAAGATTGCTTTAAAAAATAATTTGAACATCCTAGTATTTTTTTATGTATATTTAATTAATCTGTCATCCTCTACAGAAGAATTGAACGTATCAGTGATTAGCATTACACATAGTATAAATAAGTCAACCCTAAGTATGTCTTTACATTTTTATCCAAATGCTGAATTTATGACACAAAAGCTGAATGTTTACAGCTATTATGTTAAGCAAATTATTTTATGCCAAAATTTAGTTTAGAATCTTAGCGTCAGCTGCTAGACCTTTTAAAAATTAAAACTTAATTTCTAGAAAACTGGGGCCCTAAACTAAAATTATGGCTTCGACATTCCCTAGTTCTCAAAATTATCTTTCTTTCAACACAAAAATCATGAAAATCCGTCGAGTGGTTGATTCAGAATCGTGAAATAAAAAACACTGTTTCGTTTTAATATTATAGATTATGTAATAGGCCTAGTAGATTTTCACAAGCTAGGCTTATGTCAGGCTACATTATGATTTTTTAAAATAATTTGTTTTAATTATTTTTCAATGCATTTTAGTGAATGTTGTAAACTATTGTCTGCACCCAGTTTATTGGTTACTGACTGGTAATTACATCTGAATACTTGAGCTTTTTATCTTATCATAAAGGCACATTGTAATTACATGACTAAACTAGGTGAGGTTTACTGTTTGCAATGATAAAATCTCAGATTAGGTTATAGCACATTGAGGCATCCAGTCATTTAACATTACTATAAACATGTTTTACATTTTTAATTTTTATTTCCTAAGTAGGCCATGTATTCTAGGTAAAAGTACCGGTATCAAGGATCGTCGTCGAAATTTGGTTATGAGTAATTGTATAGGCCTACGAACCCAAGAAATGGGCAATTGGTCTATTGGCTGTATGGTCCAGCGATTGCAGCACATAGCGGTGAGAAGACACATTGGAAAAGCGAGTTGAGCATAATCCGTAAACCTCTATTACAATCACCCACTGAAGCTGTCACTTTACATTTTACACAACCGCCATTTAAGTAAATTTAATAACATTTGTTTTTAATTTTAAGCAATTTTTTTGACAAGATCAGTTCTCTGCCACTAGGAGTAGCTTTCCTGTAAAACTCAGCTACTATGTGATATTTATTAATTCTAAAAGAGGGCTGTATGTAGGCCTACCTGTTGTGTTCAAGCTTGAAACTAATATGCTACAATTATGATTTAAAAGTAGGCTACTGTTAGTGAGGTAGACTATTAGGTGTGATCATCTTGAATTATTCTCCCAAGTGCAGGTGTTTAGGGAAAATCTTAGTTTAACTACGATGAAAAATGAATGTAAACTATAAAACAAGCAAATGTATTTCTCATTAATATTTACAAGACATGGAACAAAATTGGACTAACAAAACAGACAGCCGATAATAAATAAACATTCATATCATCTGTAGTACTATAACAAATAACAAAAGGCAGGCATTTTCAACAGATCAATGGCTTAAGACAGGGGTTTTCCTAGCTAGGATACGGTATCGTAGATTTAGGGTATAAATCCTTTCTCATTAGACATTGGTGAATTAAAAAACTTGTATCCATGTTTACCAAAAATTCTTTTCATAACAATTAAGATGTAGGTATTAATTAGATAAGTGAAAAACATAATCTTGGTCCTAGTAAAAGTCCTGAGGCTCATCCTATAAAAATAATCAGTTTGGCCAACTGTGTGGTACAATTTTACCAATCTTAGCAACCTAGCCAAAATATGTAAGCTATTTATGAAGGCTAAAAGTGTTATAAGGAATTAAATATGTGTTTGTATTGTCGTATCAAAAGTAGTCGGAAGTGCTAAGGCACAAATGTATTCAATCAAAATCTTAAAATATGAATACTGTACATTGGAACGAACAAATAATATGTTTCCACTGTTGCACAAACCTCAAAGTGAAAGAGGAACTTCCTAGAATCAATTTACCAGCAATTTTCCATCAGCCAATCTCAATATTGGAATTGGTTGAGCTTATTTTGTATGAACAAGAATTGATTAACATATTTTATACCTACTGTATGCAGTAAATTTGATATTAATAATTCAACATGTTGTTTTCCATTAATTTTGGTATTCTATTTAATATGGTACCTCGGTATATATTTCCATTTGGTTACTAATATAAATAGTTTTTTAAATTATTGTAGCCTATAAAATTTGAACAAATAACCAGTTTTTCTATAGAATGTAATTAAATATTCCATTTTGTCATAAAAAAATATTTATGTAGCCTAATTAATTTTGAAGTCTGCTCTTAACTTTGTACTCTTTTATATATTTTAAATGATGTTTTTCATCCACTTCAATTTGTTAACATCTTTAGAAAATACCCGGAAATGAAATGGTGAAAAGATTACCAAAATCAGGGTTAAGCGAGTCAAGAGTTGTAGACAAATAATTCCTGATTCTCAAAGAAAATAAGAAAAAAATAGCTAATTTATGCTATAGTAGAGCCAAGCAAAGTGTACTCATGCTGATAGCTTTAATGGGTCAAATCACATTTTTTTTCTGTAGTGTATTGACGCCATTGTAGTTTTTAAGGAAACAGTATAAACCCTAGTCTTGTTACTGTAACTTTGACTTTTTGTTAGATATCATAATTAATTGGATATCCCATTGCCATAGCATCTCGGTCCAGAATATATCTTGCTTGGAATGAACCAGTAACCTCCAGATTTGAAGGTGAGCACTATAACCACTCGGCTACCCAGACTGTAACTGCTGGAATTGATATAAGATGTAAGAGTTATTATTTTTACCTTACGCTTTGTTACAGGTTTACGCAGCAGGATGCAACATCGTGATACTAGCGAGCACGTTCGAGCGGGTTCAGATCATCCCTGGCGCGATCCACAACTACGTGCGTATCAGCTGTGTGGACTGCTCTACAGACACTGGCAAGATAGCGGCCGCTTACGAGAACCAAGTGTGCATCTTCGAGCCTACACCTCTCATACACAACAACAGCCCTCATGTAAGTGGCAGCTTTGCTAGTGTGATAACTAGTGAAACAAATTCTTTTACTTTACAAAATTATCTAAGAATCAAAAATCAAATATTTATTTTGAGCCTGAGGGGTATCATGCTGGTTCACATTAGTCAAGAAATTATACAAGTGAAACTGACAAAAAATACAGAGACAAAATATTCAGATTAGGATAAGAACAAGAAAAAAATATATACACATTAGTTAGGGTAACAAAGGATTAATGAAATTTGGAGTACTAAAACATAACATTAAATCAAACTAACAGTGGTTCTAAATACCTATTAAAATTAAATAAAGAAAAATACTATTGTGAAGTTAATTAAATAACTTCTTAATCAGCATAGCACGTGTTATTTTAATTTTATGGAAAGTAAATAAAACTACCATCTAATAACATTGAAACATATATTTACCCTGTTTTTAACGAGACAATATAGGTCATTTGTCTAATGGGTCTGATGATGATTGGAGTGTCCAATCAAAATTGATTAGGCCTACCACTTACCATCTTTTATGTATTTACCATCTTGTTAAAAATAGTAGCCTATAAAGTAAATAATATTCATTATTTATGTTTCAAGTGTTATCAAAAATATTATCACTTAATTTCCGTAGTAAAAATTGGAAAGTTGTTGATTAACGGGAATGCAATGTTGTACTGAGAGGTGGTGGCATACAGTGTTAACGACCACATGCTTAATCAAAACATTGCAAAGCTCTTTACGCCATAACACTTACTGGGCTATCACTACTGGTTCCAGTGAAATAATTTCCTGTGAATCAAAGTTAATTTGAGAGCACTTTGAGTGCTCCATAAAATGGATTGTAGGGTACACCATAAATTAAGAAACTGTCTCCCAATTGACGTAACCGCATAAAAAACATTTGCCAAAGAGTTTTGAGCTTGGATTGTAACTGAAGTCCATTACAACTTTTAACTCTTCCTTATAATATTTAACAAATAGGCTATTTAACAAAATCTTGGGAATGCATGTGTTGAAGGACTGATCTATTTTTGGAAAGGCAAGTAATGTAGATGGTTTACTGCTGACTTGACATTTAAATAGTTGTTTTATCACAAGACAATTGATATTCATCAGCACTTTACTTATCTCAGCACACGTTGTGGCGTCAGGTGATTAGTTGTACAATGTCTGTATTGCAAAGCCAAATACCAATCATGCTTTATATGCATTAATGCATTGTTATATTCAAGGTTAGCCCTTATTAGGAATTGATTTTGAATAAGATTCAACATGTTGTTATCACAAACTCAGAGTATGTATCATTGAAGAACACATTAAAAATTAATCATTATTGGTTTTATGCCAAGAAAAGCTTGAAATTATGTTTGTTGGCTTGATTCTAGGGTAAAATAAATCAACTATTTATAAACTTGTTAAAAATTTAAGGAAACAAGGAAAATCTTTAGAAAACAAAACACCTAGGCCTACTATGCATATTCATTTAGCTTGCAAAATACCATGTGAGTCCTATTCACAATCAATTCGCTGTACAGTACAGTAAAACTAAACTGTGTAGGAAACAATGCAACAATGATATCAGCTGATCGACAATAAAGTAAAGGACACAGGGCTACAAAGTTATGAGCTTTCTTGTCTAAACAGTGTCTCTTTAGTTTTTAAACAACACCTGGTATATAGTACCCATAGTCCCCTTTAACTCCTCTCCTCCCAAACCCAACGGTAAAAAATGTTGTAACTTTTTATCATACAATACGAGGACTATTTTGAACAGTTTGGAGACAAAAGTAAGCTTTCATTTTGGATGTTGAGGTTTGACAGTTTTTTTTACTAAACTTGCTTACTATTATTTATCAGAATTTTGCTTGTAATTTTGAAGTAAAAAATAATGATACAATACTGATTTTATTTTAGTAAATAGTTAGTGTGTTAGGTCTTGTCAGATTTGTATTAAGCGGCCCACACACTACACGTGCATTGCACGCCGTGCAAGAACGTCGTGCCAAAAACTGAGGAAACGTGCCAGTGAGTGGTGAACACCGTGCAAGCACAGCGTGCATTGGCATGGCACTGTGAAAATCAAAACAAGTTTGATTTCTGCCAAAGCTCTGACCAGCCAAGTTCTGACATGCTAGTATGTAGGCGGTCCCGTGCCACGTGCTGGTAGTTCAACCACTTTTGACAGGGGTTGACCCTATAATAGTACTTTCTTATTAGTGAATCGACGGCATTTTGTCTTTAGAACGACCATCGAGATGATAACACAATGGATCGCGCGCTGTATGTGATGCATGAGCCGAGACGCAGTCATAGATCTCCTTATAACATATTATAGAGCATACATCCACATCCTCCACCACAGTATTGTGAACCAAGTGCCCTGGCGGCGTATATCTGTACGGCAGCAAGGTGCAAGGTCTGGACTAACCTTGGCACTAAGGCGGCTTAGTGCTGCTGCCTAGTGTCTATTTTTAACGAATAATCAATTATGTCCTTAAAACATGTCTGCATTCTGCATTTAATTTGTATGAACAGACGATGTAATTTAGCACGTTGCAGGCTAAACTGAAAATCAAGTGTGTAGGCAACAACGTGACGTGCCAGAGCACGTCGTGCCAATATAAAAAATGGGACGGCGTTCAATGCACGTGTAGTGTTTAGGCCGCTTAAAAAATACTCAACTTTTTTAAAGTCTGCTTAAGTGGAAGGAAGTTCCTTAAGTTTTCTTAAGTATATGGTATATATAATTATTTACCTTTTTGACTCCCACAATTGTTTTGCAAAAATACTGAGGCAAACCTATTTGGACAGCAATCATAACACTGGACTCTGTAGACTTCTTAGTTGAATCAATTACTTTGGATTTTGAGAAATCTGTCTTTACTTGAGGTTTAAAATCTAAGTATTAGCTCAACTCATTCTGCATATATTTTTAGGAAATACTGTAGTGTAGTTCTAAATAACACTCCTAATTTTGTAGAATCTCATACATTTTCAGGTGTGTAATTGCCTAATCACATTAATGGGAAAGAAAACTAGATTATATTAAATTTAAGTGGCCTCTGCTAAAAATTGCACATTTTAATTGACTTCAAAACTAGTTTCCGAAGCAAAACAAATAGTGCAAATACCCTTTTAAATTTTAAAGATTATGTTGTTTTCTATATGACAGTCGCTAGATGAATAAAACTAGGTAGCCTACTAATTACTCGTAATTTACAACAAATTACGATTTACGATTACGACAAATTGTTAATTTTAGATAAATAACTTCTTGATCAGCATTGTACCAAAAAGATTAAATTACCAGAAAGTACAGAAATAGGGCAAATCACACTTGTGATAATATATTTACACTTAAACTGTTTACTCACAAGACGGTAAATACATATAAAAGATGGTGAGTGGTGATCGATTTTGATTGGACACTCTAATCATCATCAGACTCAATAGGTGAAGGTTACCGTCTTGTGAGTAAACAGTATTAAGTGTAAATATTATTACCAGTGCTATTTTTGATGTATTTTTGTACTTTCAGGTTGATTTTAGATCCACTACATAAAGAGTAATGTACCTACCTCAATCAGGTTACAATTATCAAAAAATTAGCCGATTTAAAATCCATTTTCATAAACGGTTTTGTCTCTTGTTTGCACTCTGTGTTTAAACATCCAACTGAACAATCAACTGTTAATGTACAATTCACATTTTTAAACCTTAATAAAGAAAGTGGTTCAGCTATTCAATTTTTGAAAGCGTACTCTAGAAATAAAACAAACTCTAAGGGGGCGAAGCCCTAAAGGATATTAAGTTTTTTTGACAGACGCGCTAGGTCATAAGCTTTAAAATTACACTTCAATCGTAAAATTAAGTTAAGTAGGGCGGCTGGAAAAGGGATACGTACAGAGAAATTCCTCATCAAGTATATAGATAGATGATATATATTTATATGTATTTCTCCCTTCACAACACTGTGTACCCCTAGAGACATGTTTATTTGGGTTCAATTTGGAAAAGACTTGGTTGTTGTTTTACTAAAAGCATGATAAGACAAGAGTGTCTTTAGTCAACAAAATATTTGCTGCAGTTAGGCCTAAGTGATATAGTTGGATATCAAGGGATTGATCCATGTCTTGGTCTGCCTTCAAATATTGACAGATTCTTATAACTCATCCTTTGAGTAAACTTGAGTATGCATGAAGGTTGTCATAATCCTTGATGGCAAGTTTAGTTCTAAATGTAAACTAATTAAACAGAACAAAAGAAAGTCTTTTGTAAATTTATATTTGTTTGATTTATGTACATTTTTACAAGAATGGACATGACAACCCGAACTAAAACCTTGCTATCTAAAATTAAATTGCCTTACAAAATGAAAATTTGTCAATGTGAAACCCGAAGAGTCACAGATAAAAAAATGCTAAATGATATAAAAGTAACTGTTATGTTTCACTGGAACTACCGGTATAATGATTATAAGCATTCAATAAACAGATATTTTTGATAATCCATTAGAGTTTTTGGAAGATATTTATCTGACCATTGCAAGATAATCAGTTTGATTTCTCTTTATAGATAAGTGTCCTATAAACATAATTTTATTTTTATACTTTAAATTGTATCTACAATACTGAAAGAGTAAATTAAATTGTACAACCAAAGTAGGCACAGCCTAATATGTCTGTATCTGTAGGCCATGTGTGATTATTAGTAAGTAATTAACAATATATCTTAGTCGGCAATATTGAGTTTGATAATTTTTTACTGCATTAAAAAGTTTTAATTTTTTATTTTTACTTTCTCCCTTTATACATAGGCTATGGAGAAAGTATTGTTTTTGTCAACATTTTCTAGTTTGAGTTTTGAGAGGATATATATCCGTTTTGGGTGCCCCTGAACCCAAAAAAGTAGTTTTCGAAGTGATGTCTGTCCGTGGATGTGTACAGAGCTACACACCTGTTGTCCGATTTTGATGAAATTTGGTATGTAGGCTATGTATCC